ACTTGAGTTTGGTCCATGGAACCCATGTAAAGATAAAGGTAGGAGAGAATTGACTGCACAAAATTATTTTCTGGCCCCCCATCAATTCTGTGACATATGTATACCCACATATTTGTTATATACAGACACGCATACATATATACATTAACACACACACCAACATAAATGCTAATAATAAGTAGAACTTTAAAAGGAATACTTTAAATACAGATAATTATGTTTTTCTCAAAGGGTAATATAAACAGGCCACAGAAAAAGTGACCACAATAGTTATATATATATATATATATATATATATATATATATATATATATATATATAATGTTTTATTTAGGGATAGGGAATTTTTTCAACTTAATCTCACAGCATTGTGGAACAAATGTATTTTACCTCAGTTTTATAGACTGCAAGGTAGGTGTTCACAGCAAATGCCAGCTGATGGCACCTTCTGCCAATTAAACTTACTTTCTACTGGAGGAGTTGGATCAAGTCTGTGGCTATGGGCAAGGTCCACCAGGGTTCAGAATATTGAGGAGGCCTTACTCAGTGAGGAGAACACAGAACAGGATGGGGGCCACGGATTAAGAAGCCTGTACAATCTTGGGTCCAAGTAGGAAGCTTCCTCCACAGGCAGGGTGAGCTTCCCAGAGGGAGAGGGCATAGTGAACAGTGGCTTTTATCTCCTGCTCATTGCCCTGATGAAACTGCCTTTTGGACAAAGAGCCAAGACAATGAGTCCTCCACAGCACGAGGAGACATAAAGTTTAAGGTGAGAAGCTGGTTTTTCTCCTGGCCTCTTTTCAGACGTTTACAGAAAGAGATATCTCAAGATCTGTTATTCATTCTGCACTAGCACAGAGGAACCGAGTGGATTCTTGTCTCTGCACTAACACAGGTGAACTGAGTGGCTTCCTGCCTCTGGGTTCTGCAGAAAGTCCTCTGTCAAGGCCCCCATCTGCTCTTTTGTTTCAGTTATGCCAAGATTAAAGATGGTCCTGAGTGAAGAGGGGCTGTAGTCCCACCTCTGGAGCTGCTGCCCAGAAAGGTTGCTTAGGAAGCTGGTGTGGTGACTTAGAACAATGTATGAGACATTCATAACATGTTCAAGTGTCTCTTTTGACAACAAGTTTATGAGGCAGTCATTTTGATGGTGGTACGAAGCTACTTGGGATTTTCATAGATTTTATGGATGATTTTAGATCTATAAAAATATTTATATTTGCCTATTTACTTGTTTCTGGTCGAAAATGAGAAGAGTGCCCATCTTGTTTACCCTGGCATCCACCCCTGATGCCAAGCATGGAGACCTTCACAGAGGAAGCACATCATGATCATTTACTGAGCACACAAATAACTACAGTCTTGTTAAAGCATCGTTTCTACCACCTATGCTCAGGGCTTACACATAGTAGGTGCATAATGACTATCTGCAAGATGGGCTGCTACCTCATGGGTACTCCCCTTGTTTCACAAGGAGTACCAACCAGGAGCACGTTACCTGCCATGGATTCTCTATTCAAACACAAGACAAGCTGACACTTGCCTGGGTTGTTTGAGTCACCATTCTCACTGTACACAGAAGAACTCTAGGCACAGAGATGAACAAGGCATATGTGGTAAAGGAGAAAATTTTGTTTTTACTCTGAGAGCTGAGAGTTGAGAGCCAGATTGTACTATTTAGGTGTCTTACCTGTTTTGTTTCTTTTTCTCCCCTTACCCCATCTCCTGTGTGTGTGTGTGTGTGTGTGTGTGTGTGTGTGTTTTCAATGAAAAGATCTGAGGATCCTGAATGAAATGCCCATTTTTAGAGCTGTGCCTGTTAACAACACCATGAACCAGCACAGCTTGCCATTGAAAGCTGTCAAAACCTAGAGCTATGTCAAAAGGGGTCCTCTGTGACCAAAGACCACTCAGCTTCCACATCAAAAAGAACATCAGACATGTGGAATGAAATTGAACCAATACACAGAACGAGGATTTTTCCATAGTATTTTTAAGACATCATTGATCACCTTCAGAACTCACTGGGATACTTATTTGTTGTTCATATGATATGCAGACTATGGAAAATAAGCATTCCACCCACGCACAAGATAAGTAAATTGGCATTGGAGAGAAATTGCTCCCTTCCAGAGGAATCCTTGTGGGAAGATTGGCAAAATTAAAAAGTGGCCATTTCAAAACTACTCATGAAATAATGTGCATAGGCTCTACAATTCATGGCTGAGAACATTTTGGCTAGAGATTGATGGGGAACTTGATACTGGAGGCATCAGCTTGACAACACCTGAATCTGTGAATCGATTGTAATCCAACTAAAGGTGGGGAAAGCAGACATTACATCAGAGGCGCCCAGGATTTGCTACATATTAGAAACAGCTGGGAGCTTTGAAAACTCACAGCATTAAGGTCAAGTCCCAAACCAATTCAGTTGCTGTGTCTGAGGTAGAAGTCATGCACCGGTAATTTATTTTCTCCTGGTGGAGGTTTTCCGGGTGACTACAATGTAAAGTCAAGTTCAGGAGCTCTTTCTTTTTGTGACTTATGATGTCATGCTGTGCTCTATGTGACCGATAGCGTTCCTATGATATGATATTAACTAACACATGCAGATCTGATTGTTTATAGAATCCTGGGGAATATAGCAACATGTTATATAATAACACTTCAAGAAAACAATCAGAAATCTAATGAGAAGACACAGTCAAAAGGCTATGTGTTCCCACATTTTTTTTAGTAAAGAAATGGAATTTTAACAAATAAGGTTACTTAGAAGGCCTTTCTTAATCTATAGCTTGAAGGATTGTGCACCTTGCTACGAGAGAGTAAATTGTATGTGACTAATAATCACATAGAAAACATAATTGAGCTATGATATGAGCTAAGTAAAAACACTGGGTAAATATGGTCAAAATACCTACAGAATCATAAAGTAAAATATAATGAAACTTACTACTACTTTGAACAATAAATATTAATTATAATTAATTAATTAATTTAAAGCATTTCAAATGGGATTAGAGAGAAGTTTAGGTAGTTAGGAGCAGTGGCTGCTCTTCCAGAGGACATAGGTTCAGCTCCAGCACCCACATGGAAGCTCACAACTGTCCATAACTCCAGTTCCAGGGGACTTCTGGCCTATGTAGGCACCAGACATGAATGCAGCACCCTTACATGCCTTCCAGCAAAAGCATTTATACACATAAAGAAAAAATAAGTAAATCTAAAACATAAAAAGAATTGCAGATGACGAAAGCTGTCAGGACCCAAATATTCTGGACTTGACAAAGAACTACCATGGTGAGTCATGCATAGAAAATGCCTTTCTGTGCCTGGGTTATATGCATTAGTGATTGCTTTGAGTCACCAAACATCCATTAGGTCTCATTAAGGAAAGAAATAAAAGCACTTCCCCTTGAAGTCATTTGATCAGAGGAAGCCCATGTTTGAATTCTCTACTTCATGCTCTCTATGTCTTCCCCACCTGTGTGTTGTATAAGTCTGAATCTCTGCCTGTTGGGAGCGGTCATTGTTATTTAAAACCTCTTGTAAATATTGTCAGTCTTTCTTAAGAGTAGTCTATCCCCTCTTGTGCTTCCCTATGAATAGAACTGGGCTCACAGGAAGAGCTGATAGCAATTTGCATTTAGGTTACTCAACCCTCATCATAGAGAGTACATGACTCTGGACCACCCTGCTACCTGCCAAATTCCAGAAACAGACCTGCAGCTTATCTGCCTAGTCACTAGGGCATAGCCTTAAACAATAGAAGGTGGAATGTGAAAGATAAAGTTAGAGTCTGCAGTTAGGTAACCAGAGGACACAGGATGATCTACCCATCCCACTGACCTTTGCTCTGCCAGGCTCATTGCAGCTTCAGCACACCCCCATTCTTTTCCCTCCTCCCTTCCCATATATAAATCCCTTTGGGATGAATAAAGTTGTCGCCTTGATCAGAATCCTGTCTTGGCATCCATTCTTGTATCCCCTGCCCTCCATCTTTCTCCTAAGTGTCTCCAAACCCATGTCGAGTGTCCTGTGGGTCGGGACATCTGCCTAGCTGAAGAAGGCTGTCTTGTGAATCTGTCCCTGTGTATGAGTGTGTGTGTGTATGTGTGTGTGTGTGTGGAGTGTGGGAGTATATGGGAGTGTAAGTATGTGTGAGAGTGTGTGTGAGTGTGTATGGGCATGTGAGTTTGTGAGTGTGTGACAGAGTATGAGTGTGTGAGTGTGAGTGTGCGTGAGTATGTGTGAATGTGTGAGTGTATGAGTGAGTGTATGTGAGAATGTGTGTGTGTGGAGAGTAGTGTGTGAGAGTATGTGTGTGTGTGTAGTGTGAGTGTGAGAGTGGGTGAATATGTATGTGTGTGAGTGTTTATGAGTGTGTGTATGAGTGAGTATGTGTGTGGAGAGTATGAGTGTGTGTGCAGTGTGAGTGTGAGAGTGTATGAGTGTGAGGGTGTGTGTGTGGAAGGAGTGTTGTCTCTGACAAAGGGCTTCACTTCATCATTATTACACAGAACAGAGAGCATCACACAGGGAAGGAATGAGTACTTTGTAGACATCTTTACCAGAGTTTGACAAGGAGAAAGTCACTGGCTTTGACTAATTCCAACCAGCCCAGTCAATAACATCATTGTTTATCAACCAATACCAATTATGGTTGATTTCAATTTTTATGATAAATTTTTAGAAGTTGTTTCCAACTTCTGTATTTGCTGCTTTCAGCAAATGATACACATGCAGTATTTGAGTGATGGGCTTAGAAGAGGAGGTAAGACTACAGCTATGCATTAGCTTAGTTTGCAAAAATTGGCTATGTAGGAAATGTAAGGCAAGTAAGGTTGACTGTTACATTGTTCTATTGTAGGCAGGTTAAACAAAGAGTTTGAATGCAGAATAGGCTAGCAATCTAAGGTCTCAACTCTGGTTGGAAGATGCAACAAAAATTCCATTCCCTTAGAATATAAGAGATATTTCCATAATATTAAATAGCCACATTTGTGCTTTGTTTGCCCCTCCCCCAACTACAACAAATTATAAGGTTGAGTTTGCCACATTTGGAAAAATTGCAAGGGTCAGAATAATACGAATGCAATGGATGAATCTTGCCTTAGAAATGCCACCTTTGTGATCATGGTGTGTCGATTGAGACCCTTGGCAAGTAAGTAGTTTAAGCAACTGTTTAATATTGCAGGCATCCATTCATTTTTATTGTCAGACTAGACTAAAATATTAGGAGGCAGAAAGTAGCAGCTGGAACTTGAAGTAGTTTGGGAGTTGGAGAGGAAAATCATGAAGTTCAGGGCTACAGTAGTAGTATGTGAGACTCCAGAGACTGAGATTTCTGTGAGAGGGAAAACAAAGCAATGAGCTGAACATGCTAACAAACTGTCCCCTTGAGAACTTGTTGAATTTTAGTGCTATAAATGTGTATGCAAAAGGCCAAAAAAGGATACAGTGGCTAAGAGAATAAGGTGGTTTTATGAATAGAGTTTGGGAGACCAAGAGAAGAATTTAAGGTCAGCTGGGACAAAAGGACTTTGAGATTCACATCAGAGTCTTAGCTGAGAACCCAGAGGGCTGGAGTTGTTAGGACAGGATGGAAAAAAAATTAGCATGGCTTCCAAGAGCAACTTTGCTTGTGTTGTGTCTGCTTTCCAGACTATTCTAATCTCCATGGAAGAAAATCCCAAAGCCACGGTAAAGGAGGTATTTAAAAAGAAATAACAGGGTTATGTAGGAAGAAGAAAAAATTTTAAGATGAAGGCATAGAATAGAATTAGAATAAAAATTACCAAGTTACATAGGCATATAAAACCTAAACCAATACAGATTTAAGTCATTTAAACTAAGAAAGACCTGTGATGAGTGGAGGGTTGGATTTTGTACAATACACAGAGGAAATAGGGCAATCAATGACTGTAAGTGGATTTATTTTGCATTCTTCATCAGACAATGTCAAGCTGGAATAGTGAAAGAAAGTTAGAGTTACATATACAATAAAGGCCAGACAGAAATAAAGATACTTTTGTTTATGGTTCATATAATTGTGTAGGTAGGAAATCTTAAAAAGCTGCAAGGAGGACTAATAAATTAATTTATAATGGTTAAAGGTTAGGGTGACATAAAATCAGCACTGATTCCAAGAAAGAACCCTGAAAATAAAACTAAAGTTACAACTCCATTTACTATCCTGACAAAATGTGAAGTATATGTAAGGCTTTTGTGCTGTAAACTATGAAACAGTAGAAATAAATTAAAAAGAACTAATAAATGAACACAGAGACCACTTGAGGACTGGAAGACTTACTACTGCTAAAATGGCATTTCTCTCTCAAAATCAGCTCACCTATTCAATGTAGTACAATCAGAAACTCAGCAGGACGTGTAGCAATTGACAAACTGATTTTAAAATATGCATGGAATGCAAATTAACTAAAACACAGCCCAGAGAATTTTAATAAAAAACAAAATGCTTATATTACTTGATTTCAAGACTAACTATAAAGTCACACTAATCAAGACAGTGTGTTAATAGTAAAAGAATAGACAGGAAAATTAAAGGAAGCAATTGGAAACCCACAAACAGACTCAGACTTTTACCAATTGATCTTTTAACAAGGGGACAGAAGTCTTTTAAACAAATGATGTCAGAATGCCTAGACACTCAGATCATTAGGAATAATTAGTAACAGTCCTTATTTAAACAATCTACAAACAGTACCTTAAAACCACAGACCTAAAAGTCTAAAACATAAATCCATGTTGCTTCTAGATTAAATCATTGCAAGTTTTGAGTAGACTAAGTTTTCTTAGAAATGCCCAAAACTATAAACCAAAATTCATAATTTGTGATCTTTAAAATTCATAGTCAATAAACTAACAAACAACAAAGAAAATGTTGTCCTGTAGGTATCAAAGGATTTGTGTTCAGAACCCTGAAAGACCTATGGAAAGGAACAAAATAAGAGCTGAAGATTTGGAAAGCTCACAGAAAAGGTAATATGGATTCCAAAGAAGTAAACAGGATCTGGTTCAACATCAATTCCCATCAGGAATTACCAATTAAAAGCATAGGGAGATAACAGTACATACTTCTTAGGACAATTGGGATGATGTCATTCAGATTGGCTATGGGAAATATAGAATGGACCAAGCACTTTGGAGAACCATTGTGTTCCTGAATGTATGCATATACATACTCTTCAGTTCAGGCGCTTCATGCTAAGGTATCTTTCAATGAAAATAAAAACATGTCATGCAAAGGTTTGCATACATACAGCACTATTCATAGTACTATAGACTTGGAAATAACTCACTGAAAACCAGCTATAAACCAATAACATATAGACTATTTAGACATAAAATAGACAAAATATAGCCTCTACAATTGCATACTGTTCACTAATAAAGAAGGAACAATACTAAAAAATAAAAAACCCAGCTGGGTGGTGGTGGCACATACCTTTAATCCTAGCACTCAGGAGGCAGAAGCAGGTGAATCTCTGTGAGTTCGAGACCAGCCTAGTCTACAAAGCTACAAGGCAAATCCTGTTTCAGAAAAAAAAGAAAGAACAAACTACTACATATAACCACATATATGTAGATGGCTTTTCAAGTCATTATATTCATACAGAAGAATGCATGCCATATAACTCAACTATTACAAATTTCTATAAAGTGCAAAATAATTGATGTTGACAGAAAAAAATGAACTGTGGCTTGAAGTGTGGGATAAGGGAACCTCAATATGGAAAAGGACCATTTCGGGGTGGTAGAAATCTTCTCTATCTTGTTTCTGATATTAATGAACCCATTCAGCATACTTTTGCTATGGGCTTAGTTCAGTGCATACAGATTATACTTTATTAGTCACATTTTAAGGAAACAGTTGACTTTCCATCAAAAATCCACATTATAAGGATGATGTCTGTACATTTCCATTTATATATGGTTCAACTTAGGAAATGAGATTGTTAATTTTAAATACCAACTTGTCACAACTTAGAAGCCCTAAAAAGAGAGCTTCAATTTGAGGGATAGCCTATAACAAACAGGTTGGTGTATGGGGACTGCCTTGACTGTTAAGTGATACAGGAAGATTCATCCTACTGTGGGTGGCACCATTCCCTGGACAGGGAGCATGAAACCCCATCAGACAAAGCTAGATAAAGGAGCAAAAAGGTAGTATTGGTACACCTGTTTCTCTCTGTTCTTGGCTTTGGATGTGATATGACTCATTGCTTATGTTCTTGCTTTGACTTCTTCTCACTGACAGACTGAAGACCTGAAATTGATAGACCAATAAACTGTTTCCTCCCTAAATGGCTTTTGTTCAGGGTGTTGTATTATAGCAACAGAAGTGAAAGTCCAACAGAATGCTTTTGAATTTACAGAGTTGTGTAAAAGTCACATGGATTTAGTAGAAATCATAGTTCAAATTTTTAAAATAGTATTTTCCTGAGTTAGAAACATTTGGTAAGACATTCTCTGGATAATGTGCATGGCAGTCCCCACATGCTTAGTCATTATGACATCCTTATAGAGACAATGAGTACTCCACAGTGCACCATGTTGCAAAGCTATGATGTGTAATAGTTAAGTATACTAAAATCCAACCGTAACATCATATTTTCAATTTATGACACACTTTTTAATCATAACCATTTTAATTATGGTTTTATTACTGTGAAGAGACTTCATGCCCATAGCAAGTCCTATAAAAGAAAATACTTAATTGGGGCTGGCTTGTAGTTTCAAAAGTTTAGGCCATTATCATCATCACATGAAGGAAGGGAGCATGTAGACAGACCTGGTGCTGCAGAAGTAGCTGAGAATTCTATATCTTGAACTGCAGGCAACAGGAAGTAAACTGTATACTGGGTATAGCTTGAACATATATTTGACCTCAAAACTTGCTTCCACAGTGACATACTTTCTTCACCAAGACCACATCTACTCCACCAAGACCACACCTCCTAATAGTGCCACTCTCTATAGGCCAAGCTTCAAACACAAAAGTCGATGTGGGCCATACCTATTCAAACCATCACAATACTCTATCGCAGGTTATGAAGCATCTTTATATACGGATGAAAAAATAAGTCAAACACATCTGTAGGGGAATACTGTGTACTTTAAGATGTAGTCAGGAAATACATCATGATAATATTACTTCATGTTTATCTGGAGTGTTCTATTTACAAATATTTTATTATTTTGAATTACATGTTTGTGTATATCTCCATGTGGGAATGTACATTTGAATGTAGGTGCCCACAGTGGGCAGAGATGTTGGTTCTCCTGTAGCTGCAGTTACAAACACTTATGAACCATTCGATGTGGGTGCTTAGATCCAAGCTCTGGTCCTCTGCAAGAGCAAAGAATTCTCTTAACCATTGTGTCATCCCTCCAGCCTGAGTAGTTCTATTTTAAATGGCCATCAAACCATAATAAAGTATGCAAAGGTGTAATTTAAAGACTAGGTTAGTTATTTCAGCAAAAGGCAAGAAATACATGTATGCTAGGAGATGGGATGTCCATCATGGAAGCCAATTATGGGCTCATGGAAGTCCATTTTTGATGGGAGATGCGATGACCATCACGGGAAGCCAATGGTGGACTCATGCTAATCCATGTATGCTGGGAGATGGGATGGCCATCGTGAAGCCAACAATGGGCTCAGGACACCCCAGTATATTGACTAGTCCCTCAACTGATGCATAAAGCATTTTAAAGTAAAATTATAATATATAAGTAAAGATGAGTTTTAAAATTGAGTAGAGAGTCCAAAAGCCTGAAAAGACTTCTATAATACAGATGCTTCAAGTCAAGTCTAATCCTTTTTATTCTAAATATCAGTATACCCATAGCCCCAAAATGTCTGATTCGAAATGTCTTATTTCAAAACATAAATGGAAGAAATTTCTTGGGGGTCCAGAAGAAATGACAAGAAGAGAAAAATTTAAGAGTGTTCAGTTAGGTCCTGAATGACAGCCTGGCAGGTACATCATGAAAAGCAGTGCCCTTATTTTCCCCAGAGACTGGTTTGTTTTGAGCTCAGAGTGAGGAACAGAAGCTTGTATAATCCAGGGAATTTCAAAATTATTCTTTGGTCCCAGGTTATCTTAGTCTGATGCCTTTACAGTTTTAGTAGGGACAGGATAAAA